ATGGTATCGGACAGTTCTCGGTCCCTTCATGTCGAAGCCTCATCTTTGGCAGACTTATTGAAATTCCCTTTGACTCACCCGTCAAAACACGGCATTGCAAGGCGTTGTCGCTGTAATGAGTGATCAATAATCGGGTTCCATTGCACAGTCCTCCCGCCAAGTGTAAGTTCCTCAATACCATCACTGATGCTCCGACTTTGAGATTCATTTCATGTGAAGGGAAGCCTGGGAAGTTGAACGTGTTCAAGACGTCCACCGAAACCGGATTGCTGAAAGCTTCATCCATGAGATCGACAGACATCAAGAGGTGATATTGGCCCGGCAAAGTATCCATAACGTATTCATTGATCATTGACATTGTGGCATTCAGTGGTGTTATGACGCAACGGTTTGAATAGTAGTCTATCAATTGAGGCCAGTCTTGATTCCTTACGAACTCCGCAGCTCCTTGGTATTCAGTATCTACAATATCGGAATCAAAAACACACGGAGGACGAATTACCAAAATCCGGCAATGCGTTAGAGGTAGTGTTGCAGTGTGCGTAGTCTGTAATCGCCCGGACCCTAACTCCAGCAACCATGCAGCAAAGGCGGTGTTCAAAGGGTCAGGTCGAGAAGTACATCCTCCGAGCCGGATGTTTAACGTTAAACAAAACCGAGTGATATGATTCCATAAATATGATGCCTTGAGACTTGCTGCGGCCTGTCCCATCAAGTTTGCTCATCTCACAATCGGCAGGGTTTGCCTGAAATCCCCTGCGAACAACACCACTTTGCCTCCAAAGGGAAGATCATTACCAGTTAAATCTCTGAGCGTGCGATCCACACACTCAATAGCATGCTTATGCTGCATGGCCACCTCGTCCCAGACTACAAATCGTGTATCTCGAAGAGCGCGACCGACTTGATCCTTGATCGAAATCGGGCAAATTGATTCCTCGTCAACCACGATTGGAATTTTGAAGGCGCTATGAGCTGTTCGACCGTGAAGCAGGAGAAGAGACGCAATCCCCGCTGCCGAAACTGCCTGAAAGGGTATTTGCTTTCCGTTACAATGATGTAGTAGGTAATTAAGAACAAACGTTTTTCCGGTTCCGCCAGGGCCATCCAGGAAAGCGAGGTATGGTTCGTTGTTCATCAGTGCGTCAATAATGGGTCCAATAATAGATTTTTGCTCCGCCGTTAAGACCCCAAGCATGGCCTCACTTTTGCGAAGGCTTTGCTCCGGACTGATTTGATCGCAGGTACCAATATCGGGAAGGTCTAGGTCTAAGAGTAGTTTGCTATCCACTGGAGGTAAACCTACTGCATCAAGAGTCGATTCCATAGACAAAATTATCTTCTCGAATTGATATAATCCATAATTTTGAACATGATCTAGAGTTGGCGTAACGCGAGGGTTCAATCTCTTTATTTGATGTTCACAGTCATCTGAGAGGTTAGTAACATGCTCTGACCACAGTCGAGCTGGATCAGCTGGCGAACTATGGCATAAGATGATCGCAAGCATACACCTGAGTTGATTCCCGGTTTTCCATATCGCGGCTTTGCGCAAACTATTATGGTAATGTTGATCGCTAAGTAACAGGCCATGCTTATCCGCCGCTTCACAAAAAGTTGCCATGGCAATCCCGTTCACAGTTCTGAGATCTTCAAAGGAAGTCGGACCACGGATGTGAGAAAGCAGTAAACGTAAATAATATACGTCACCACGCTTGATATTTGCAAAATACACCCTCCCTACCACAATAGCCCCATTCTTCCGCTTTGTCAGTTGCTTAGTTTTTTGGTTCCAAACGAAATGCTTGGGAACCTCGTTGTATTTGAGGCTCCGGATTGTCTGCTCAGAGTTTCGGAGTTTAACATTGGCTTTGCAAAGTCGAAAAAATTCAGTCAACGTTGTTCTTTTGGCCCGTCCAGTTTCCACTGCTCTCCGTAGACCCGTCGTATCTTGGAAATAAATGGTCTGATTGCCTTCAAGATGCAAAGCCAAGCGTTGTACCGGAGGGTATCTTCCCGCAATTGGGTACCTGAGCAGACGCCAAATTGCTGCAATTATGTATTAGTCAATGTTACTATGAACAACACCCAAATCCCGCTGCAGCGCGGGGGATTTTGGGGCCACGGAGCCAGCGGCGCGATCCACCCCAGTTTACAGGGGACCCCACCGCAGCGCTGCCGCAGTGGCAAAAGGAATCAATGGGCCTGCGGCGCGCTTGAGACAATCGCAGCGCGCCGCAGACTGGGTTTTTTGCACCTGAATTTTTTAAAAAATGAAATGACTGAATTTTTTCTTTCAAGCTGGCAAGCGTAATTCAAAGTACAACCATAATCGCTGCTTTTAATCTATGATTACAATTTCTTTTCTCTTCTTCTTTTTTGCCTCACCCTCTAAATATTTTCTGATATACTTGATAGCTTCTCCATATTCACCTCCTGGATCAACATCATCTTTGATCCATTTGCGTGAACAAACTAATCTGCTAATTGTTGGTGGGATGAGGCCACCACGATCCTGTGAGCAAACGTCAGCAGCGCTTGAAAAGACCCTCTCTGCCGCGCAAGAGGTTCCTGAAACGGCGAGGTAATCACGTGCCATTGTGGCAAGCACAGGAAATACGACCGAATTTGCCTGTAATATTGAATTACAGTACATGTCAGTTCAAATCACATCGCAAGAAAGGCAAGAAAGATGATAAGAAAATCTACTTACGTTCCACCAATCAAGTGGGCTCTTACTTTTGTCATACTCGCGCTGGCCCAACAAATACGACTCCAGTTCAGCTTCCTGTGCCGTTTGAACTGGTTTGACGGTAGAGCTGGCGGTAAAGTCATTGAACCCGTCATCGTCGTTGTCTTAGACAGGCTGAGCGTGGTCATTGGGTGGTGGAGGTTCTTCAGTGTGTTGTTTAGCCTCATCCAACGCTGAAGCAAATGCTTCGTTAACCAAAGTGTTCACCCGGTCTTTGTGTTCCGGATAACACTTCTGGAAGAAGGCAAGCCGATAACGTGGGTGCATCACTGTTGCCAATACCAAGGCATCACAGGAAAGAGCCTCGTCAATGTATGGGTTGAGCTGATCTAACATGACACCAATCATGGCCTTCAGCGGGTTCGATTTCGTTTTTTGTCGAGCTTCATTGAGCGCGTTCTTGATCCGATTGTATTCTACCAGCACCAAAGCGCCTGAGGGAAAGTCTCCCTCCATGCGCTTGGTACCTGTGCAGAAAATCTATGAAATGACCAAAACAAATTTGATCAATAAGCAGTCAAATTGTTATTGATCGATGCCTTCACTCACCGCTAGTATCTCATTGAGAGCCTCAATGGCTTCCCATTCATCAGCATTTATCAAGATCCCTTTAAAGTATTTAGCATTTTTCCGATCGGTGGCTAACATCTTGTTTACGATCTAATATATTTTGCAATCGATGAGCATCACAAAGTAAAAAGTTTAATTTCAAAGAAATTCAAATCACCTCTTGAGCAGCGCACATGCGATTTCGGGAGTCGTAGATAACATTCCAGCGGATGCCGTACCCAGCAATGGGGGTCCGGTGATCTAATCCGGCTTCCTTGCAAAGACCCTTAAATTCTTGACGACGAGAATGAGACCCCGCAATCTTCTTGCTGACAGTGTCCACCTAAAAGAAAGTATTCATATGAGTCAGTAGTGTTCAGCTCAAGAGTTTCAAATAACTGACCTTATGGACCGCGGTAGCAAAGATGTTACCATCAAGTGTTTCGGAGTCTGTTTGATTTGGACTTGTAGCATTGTCTTCTTCATCCTGAGGACCTTGATCAGCTTCATCCAAGGGATCTTCAACGTCTGAATCGGCTGAGTCCACATTGACTTGAAGGGCTTCATCGTTCAGCTGAAAAGTCGGAATTGGTACCGCTAAATTTGGTTCGGTGGAAGGTTTTGAATGGCCTGATTGAATTGATAATGACTTCAAACCAGCCTTCACCACCAGCGCTAATTTATGACAATAGCACCGTGCGTGCTGGCGGGAGCTGTCCCAGAAAACCGGGTTTTTCTGCGGCCGAAAACATGGCTGACATCTCGGATGCCATGGTCATATTGTTGGACCCGGAGTCCGTTGTTTGGCCTAGAACGTAAAAGTAGAAAAAAGTTAGTTAGGCGATCTTACTGAGAGATGATGAAGAATACCTAAAAAGAAATGAAACATATCTTGTGATGTAAGTCGTGACGAATCAGGTATCTAGCCACCGGGCGTGCCAACAGTGCACCGTAATGATTCCAGGCGACCATTTTAAGGGTCAGCAAAACTCGGCGGTAGCGGAAGTCGGCGTCGATGTAGCAAGCAATCAACGCTATGAAAGCATATCGATTGCCTTGGGTGGTCCAGACATCGTGGACTAACCATATGCGGCTGGTGTTAGACTGCGGAATTGCTACGTGGTCAGTTTAATTAAGACAAACATAGATCAAAAGAGAAAAACGAACCTTGACTTTTAGCAAAACCTCTGAGTGGAGGGCCTTATAAACTTTCTTCGCTGTTTGTGCAGCCCAAGTTGGTGACCTCATGTCAGCTGACGAGTTGGCCAACTTGAATGCACTTCGTAATATCGGGTCCGAAAAACGTGACCATGCGAGAGCGTGTTGCATGATCCAAAGGACAAGAAGTACATTGAGAAGATGGATTGAAAAGGCTGGTCGCTCAAGGAAACTGTCCATGAACTGTCCACCAGGAGTCTGCTTATTGGCAGACTTCTGTAATTGCTGATACGTTTGTGGAAGCTTCAATCCCGCTTTGATTGCCTTAGCACGATTAATACAAGGTTTGTGATCCTTATCGCCGTCTCGATGAGCATAAAGGTTGTCGTTTGATTTTATTCCACGGGTATACCATTCACCACAAAAGTTGCACGGGTAATGTCGCTTGAATGGCCCAGTCTACATATTGGAAAGAATCAAAGACAAAATCAATGAATTAGAAAAAAAGGACCAAACGTTTTGAAAGTAACTCGAAGAAGAATTAAATGAAAATGCATACCTCCTTCTTATAATGTTTCGGTTTGCCATAATACTTAAGGAGCTCTTGAACATCCTTGGACTGACCCGGACGACGTTCAGTAACTTCATCACCAGAGGAGTCCTGGTCCACATCAACAACAGAAGGAGCTGTTTTATCTTTTGTTGCCTGGAAGAGGAATGAAACCAAAATGAGCACCAATCTATAAAGTAGCACTCAAAAACTCACTTTTGTTTTGCTTTTCTTTTTCTTACTAGTACTGGCTTCAGGTTCATTAGCATCATCTTCTTCACGTATATGTTTTTGTCCTGAGCCAGTGGGATTAGGCAGCTCTTCGGTAGGGCTGGTAGGACATGAGGGGTTTGTGCCTTCTCTGGTGATCCTGCGTCGTGAATCTGAGCCGGTCAACACAAATCCGGGTGAGGGTTGTTGTGGAGAGCGGGTCCTTAGCGTTCGTATTTCGCGAGCGGGTGTAGATGGTGGCACTCCAAGATTTCCAGATGAAGATGTAGGAACAGCTAAATGTGACGGGCGAAGCATTGCAAAAGAGTAATATATAAAGTAAACAATCGAAATTGAGGAAAGATGATTTGAGAGGGTCAAAATCAATAACGAGAAACGATTGGATTTAATTAAAAGTGGGAAAACGATAACTGGAGGAATGATTGTGAGATGATCCTTGAGATTGATTGCTATCAAATAGATGGAAATCGAACAGATGGAGTTTTGAGATGAGCACGTTGAATGAAATGACTGCCACTGTGGACAAAAAAAAAACTTAGGGTCAGGAATTGAGTGCGTAGGTCAAAGATTTGATGGTATCACTTACTTTTTTGGGCCTGATTCGATCCATCTTGACTAGTTTCCCAATCGAGATGGAATACAAAGGAAGGATGATTGAAATGATTAGACTGATGAGGTTTGAAAATTGGATGTCAAGGGACTACCTACCTCTCCCTACAGTACGAGATAAACTGGGCCCCTGGGTTCCCCCTGGGGTCCCGTCAGTTGGGCAGCGGCGGGTTGGACCCCAGGGAAAACCGGGGCCCGGCGCGATTTCACCCCAGGGAGATTTGAGTAGACTGGGTGCGCGGCGGGACCCCCGCGCTGCCGCAGCGCTGCCTCAGTTTTCCGCGGCGGGGTTTTGGTGTTGCTATGAACACGCGCATATGAACGTACCCTCAGGAGCACTGATAAACCGGGCGTTCAGGTAGGCCAAGATTTCATCCTTGGTTTCGTCGCCCTCCAGCTGAGCCATTGTTCTGTCATGGCCTTTTAGGATATATTTAAAAAGGTACTTAATAGATCGGATGCTGGCTGCAACTTCTACGTTGATGTGACATCCGAACTTCAAGAGCAAAAAACGATTGTACGGGACAACGCTACTGTTTTCATACGTCACTGGACCTTTGATGAAGCAGCACCCGTTATTCGGTTGTTTGTACGTTGGATAAGAGTCCTCAGAGATTGAGGTAGTATTGCAGAAAGGCCGGGGGAATCCTCGAGTACAACCAGAGCCAGTCCAACACGGGAACTTTTCGCAAGGTCCGTGGAGCATATGTTGCGTTACCAGGTCAAATAATTGAGATTCGGTTTCAGGATCAGGCAGTTGTGCTGAGATTAGGCAGTCAATGTCTTCATTTGTAACCGGTCTTGAGTCATTGTCCAAGAAAAGAATGAGGTGACAATGAGGTAAACCTCGTTTCTGAAATTCAATTGTAGATACATACGCAAGACACACCCCTAGGCGCTCGCGCTTGGTAACATCGTCTAGCAGCTTGTGCAGTTTGAGGTAGAAAACTCTAGCGACCAAGTCTGGTCGATCGTCAGGAGACTGCCCTGGTTCTAATTCGTTCGTAATTTCAGGCCATTGCGGATTGGCTGTCATGGTTATGAACAGACTGGGATTGCCGTACTCTGCAACCAAACTCATTGAATCCTGATAGAGTTGCTGAAGGTGCCTCGGACCGCCGATGAAGCTTGACGGTAGAACAACTTTGCGGCCCACGATTTCATCCTCAACCTCATTTCCTAAAGCTTCGATCGCACCGTGATACATCTCAGCCCAAATCTCGTTTTGGTGAAACCTCAAGTACTGGAGTCTCGAGTGTTCAACACACACGTACATGTCGACCGCGAACTCTTGGAATAGTCTTCCAGATGCTAGGATAACAGAGAAGGGTGGTCGCCTGAATAATAGATACGCAAACCAGTCTAGATTTGATACATCTCCCACGGGGTCTAGAGAACACAATCACGTCAGTAAATGAGCCATCAATACCAAAGGCGAAAGTACTGACTGGTAGGGGTTGGGTTGCGGAAGCACTCATGCCACATTTGAGACCCGTATAAGAACAGGAGTGGATATCGAAGAGCAAAATATCCAGTATGAAGCTCCGAAATACGTTGTCGGAAACCTGAGCGTCGCACCAAGACAATATCCTGCGACTTCGCGCCTACAGTGCCGTCCCCATCGACAATCGCTGCTACCTCATTGGCTGCTGGTAAGTTATAACAGCGGTGATCTGAGCCAGGCGCTAAGACAGTCTTAATTTTCAGCGTTTTCACCACCTTATCGTTACAAATTTCGCTTGCTGACTTGAACACCTTCGCTTAAGGATTGTGGCGATACATAAAGTCCTGGAAGAGTAACAGAATTTCAGGGTCGATGTCTACGCCGGATCGATTTACTCGCAGGCGGGCCTCTTCTCGGCCACCAGTCCCATAAGTGAAAATTTGGGCGAAACCAGGCTCCGCATCAGTCACAGGCATTAATGCAGTAATGTTGTGCGATAATTGGCCGTTTATCTTGAAGACGTAATGCCCTGCTTGACCCAACGTGTTTTTGTTGAGGTTGACTCCCAAAGACATAAAAGATAATGCATTGTTGTACTTTTGTATCTTCTCGCGAAACTTCCTCGCCTCTATGAGATAAAACCGGATCAGTACTGTACTTTACATTATGATAAAAAATTACTTACTCTCATCACTTCTGCTCAGCAGGTCGCGAAAAAAACCAGGTACCTGCTCATCAACCATGTCGGGGAAGTACTTCACCGGTAAGTCAACATTGCCATGCCGACAACAATTCCCAAATGTCGTGCGCTCGAGTTTTGCGTCGTTCGAACGCCGCTCTTGCTTCCATCGAAAGGCACCACAACCTTGACAGACGTCAGACTGTGCACCAAGTCGGAAAGGGATTTCTCCATGAAATTTGTCGAGCAAGTTCGCCTCACAACCAAACAATTCAGACCTTATGGCCGGACCCTTTGCACGTCTTCTTCTGGGCATATTAAAACAGACACAAATGAATTGAAATGATCAAGTATCAGGTTGTATACCACGCATCAGAACAGTCCAATTAGTTAGGCAGTTGAGACTCACACAACAGAGCATCAAGTGAATAAGTTACTACTGTCGCGGTGATCAAAGGCCAAGACAATCCCGTTCGATAAGGGTACTCACGCGAGCGCAGACACCCTCGCGATGTCGTCTGCAGGCCGAGCGAAGATATACATGATAATGAGCAATAAAGTCAAAAAACTCTCCACAAACTTGCGCACAGGATAAGGAATCCACATGGTCAGCGGAAGTCCCCAGTAAGTGTATCAAATTGCCACTGATATGAAATCCAAGGTATTGTTGTACCACATCGCAGAATTATTCCATGCCTGCACTGATGTGGCGTAGGATCTCCAATCACCAATCAACATTTAGCTCTGTGGTTTGAAAACACAAACAGAGGGAATCGACACCACACGATAGTCAGGCCAGGAGAATGTTCAATCCTACACCACATTCGAAGTAAGGAAACATTCGAGCAGGTTCCACAGTGTCGGATTTGATGCGAAATCCACCAAGCCGGATTGTCAGCACAGAATCAAGGTAAACCGAGCCCACATCAAATTGCTACGATTTTTCAACACCTTATCTGAATACCAGGACGTTGGGCAAGAGCATGGTTCTACAAAACAGGAACAGTGTGTTAAATCAGTTATTGAGCCAAAACTTTGTTTGCATCATCTGCAGTTCGCGCGTGAGACCCACCTTGATATCCTCGCGATTCGATCTCAGTACCTCAATCCCAGACACAGACACCAGACGGCGATGATTATCTGTGACTGCATGGGCAATGCCAAACAAACATTTTGCGATAGCCGGGTGCTCGGAAACTTGAAAACCGAAATGCCACAATGCGAGAGCACGCATGAAGTCAACACGACATAGGTTGGAGATCATTTTTGCTACACGAGCCTACCAAACGCCGAATGGACAAAGAGGCATGATCTCGAAGAACCAGCCACTCGTGGCCCCATTGTAAACCTTATAAAAGCATCTATTTAAATGAAAGACAATTCGGCACGGTATTAGCATCCTTTACCTCACGCATCATATTGTGACAGACTGTACATGAGCAGAAATCACCAAAGTCCACTCATCCTATCAACATCTTTCAAAAAAAATCTTTAGGCCGTACAAAGGCAAAGTTAATATGGGGCTAATACCAAATCAAGTGTCGGCTATGGAGGTGATTCATTCTCTGGATCACCACTTTTTACAAGAATACGGAGTTGTCAAATGGACAACCCTTTCGTGGTCCAAGCACCACATTGCAAAATCTGTGCTTGCAAGATTGGTCGCAGCATTTGTTAAAGGTCAGCCACCAAAATACCGGTCATAGCCAAAACTTACCCCTGCGTCTTGTCCTTAGAATCAGAAGGTGAGGCTCTTCCAAGACACACAATTGGGACTATTGTTGGTTATGCACTTGGCCCTACGTACAACTACACCATTCTGATACCTTACCACGGCAACCCAGAACTCTTGTTGTCTGAGCACTGATTTGTGAGTAACTCACACACACGCATCAGCGCGCCAACACAATGTAGCTAAATCATTATCACGCACAGATCCAAATCCCATGTAGTTCAATTTCGTAGCAGTTGTGTAATGTTGATTAACCAGCCGCAGTACGAATTAGTGATCATAACATTATGTTTCATAAGTTGTCAGTTAAAATCAACAACACAAGAGTTTGAAAGAACACCTCACCCTCCTAACCTGGTAGACATGCAAATCACATTTTGTTATAGCTTTCCAAAAGTAATCTTTGAGTCTGTTGCGTCCTGACCAACAAGGTGTCGAATAATGTAATCACGAACTCTTCACGTCAAGCCTGTGCTTTGTTAGAACTGCCATCGCGAATGCGCATGATCTTGACTATTTTCCCTTTAGAAGGACTCGTATCACCTCAGGCCCAAACGTTAAAATCACGCTATACAGTTAGAAGAGCGCGAAGTTAGTTACTCATAGAAAGGCAGCTCTGAATTCACCCACGCGGTGTGAATCAGCTCATGATTGATCCAGATCACTATTCTTGCACGTTTTTATTTTTGGAGCGTGCACACATTAGTCCAGCGTTGCACAGACGCCAAGCAATTCACACACAAGGGTGCAAAATAAGACTAAACGCAGTTGGAGAAGATGTATGATGTTATAAATTTGAACATTATCGCCATGCAGAACCCTGTTATAAAATTGGAACAATCATTCTAAGACAAACAGTAGTGGAGTGAAACTGACATATAAAAAACTTCACATTAAATAATTGAACCCCAAGAGCAAAACGTTACAATAATTTGATCATCGCGCATCACGAAACAACATTGTTCATGGCCTCCAATTTCTGTTTTCCATCGCCAGGACGCCCTCAACGTCCCTTACTTTGCGATCACAGTTTGATACATGGTTCCATTGATCCTTGGTCCCCAACTTTACCGCCGCGCGCGCCATTGAGTGAGTAATCTGAGAGGAGCAGCCCAGGCGAGTGTACCAGACATCCTGACCGCACGGTCCTTTTCCACTCTGCTCTTTAGAAGGCAGGGTGTGGTGGAAAGTTGATTTACCGCTCCAAGCAATCTGGACCGCCGATTTGCCTCCAAAATTAATTGCAACTTGGTATTCTGGAAAAATCAACCAACCACCAATAATAACAAAACCTTCACTCTCAGTAATTATCTTACCGCTAATACTATCCACCGGATACCACAAACAATATACTTTTCCTTTATCGTTATCCGTGTGTGGTTTATTATAAAAATTTCCCAAGGTGAAAGCAAAGTTCGCAGCAAAGTCGTGAGGTCCCAATGGCTGAAATTTCAAAATTGAAGTCATAGAGGGCGCTCTAAGGTCATTTAGCTGCTGCCGCGCGATCAGGAATCCAACATCGCAGAAGTCAGAGAAGCGAGAGCCAATTTGCGCACCAAAACCAGGCAGTCTGTTGAGAAACTTTTGATAGAGAGAAGAAGATGATCCCTTGGGAGGCAGATAAGGAGAGGTAAGGACGCTAGAAGAATACCCCACCGTCTGACCGAAGCAGTGCATACGTCCATGAATTAAAGCTCCATTCGTAGTGACACCACTCTTAACTTCCACAGTAGACACCATTCCATCATCTTCAGCATCCGAAGGTGGAAGCGAAGTTAGGGGTGAACATTCGGGAGAAGAAGCTGGAAGTGGAGTTAATGGTGATGACTCCCTTGATTGGTAAGGGCTGAGCGGCGCAATCGGATTGCCACACTTGGTCAAAAAGCCGGAAGGCTGGTATAATGTAGACAGCGCTCGAATGCGCTCAAGCGAAAACTGTGCATTCGGGGTAGGCAAGCCTTTGAAAAGTTTCGTCGACATCATTATTGTATCTACGTCATTTTGATGATCCTGACGGGCTCTAGGGTCCATAGCTTCTAGGTCCTCAAAGGCGAAGGTAAACACGAGCTTATTGGAATGCCGATCAACATATTGACCCCGCCCATGAGTAATGATCGTGTATGTATTAAAGATTATATCCATAGTTCGTTGATGGTTTTCGAACGGTAGAATTGGGTTGTCATAACGGGTGACTTGCTTATCGTATGTGCTCAACAACCGATTAGAAGAATTTTGTGACTGGTCAGTTTGTCGAGCGTCATTAAATTTCCGCGCCCTTGCCGCATGTCGTCTAAAATCGACAGACATCTTTTAGATTTATGGTCCACCAGGAGAAAGAGAAATCGTGCTTACGTAGTTTCCTTACCACTTGCCTTCCGAACTATGGGTTTAGCAGCAGGCACACCTTCTACTCCTTGTTCACGATAAAAATCCATTGCTTGCTGCCTGTACATTATCCCAAAATTTAAAACTTATTATCCACCTTTCAACGTTGCCAAGATGGTCAGCAAGGAATACACACTTGACACCCCCCTTTCCGGAAATGTTACCCACTCCAAGTATTGCGTGCTCACAGGCCAAATGGAGCCAAAACTTAGGACGAGGGAACCCATCTGGCGCAAGGTATTCATGTGGTATGTGTGAGTAGGACTTCGGAACTGTGAATGGAGGCGGAAGCTGAATAAAGACTCTGGAATGAATTAGCACCCAGCTTGATGCTTTTGAACGAAGAGATCAGTATCATTCAGCACCCACATCCTCATCTGTATGCCCGGTTTGCCTCCTACCATCTATGACTTTGAGCAGGTCTGATAGGTAAGTGACCCCAGGGAGGGGAACGTTTCCACTGTGCTCAGTAATGAAGTAAGCAACCAACTCATCGAATTACAAACCACTGTTCTCACTTACGCTTGACCGGCAGGTGATCTGTCTGGGTGCTTAGCATGTTTGTGCTTTGGCCAATTGTTGGGCATGCCGGACGATATCGTCATGTGGACTACCTAACACTCAGGATGTCAGGTAACACAGGTCAGTACACTCAATTCTATGTTCGATGGGGAAGCAGGAAAACGACAACACCCGAGGCCACGGAACAGAGTCGTGCAAGCTCAATGATGGTCCATGTTCTTAGTACAGCGCGCTTCAAGTTGTACAGAGGCTATCCACGCCCTGCAGTAATGACATTTTCTGCACTTGGCTCACAGACTCCGCTCCGCTCCTCCCAAATACCTTGGTTCAATGATAATATCAAGCGCTTTTGAAGGCGACTCACCGAAATCAAGATTGAAAACTGTTTAAATGATCTACAAAAAGGCAGGAATGCATGCGTTAGTAAAACCCACTGATCTAGATCGGATAGTGCGTTAGACGCAAAACCAAAAAACAAACATTATGCAATCGTGACCAGAAGCAACCCAGAGTGAACCCACGCGCCCTGTTTGATGGAGTGATTAAGTGCTTCTTGGACAAACGAGTTCGATGACAGGTTACAAATGGGAATGCTATTGGGCAATTTTGAGATATAAGCACAGCGTGGT